ACAACCTCAGTGGTACTCCAATACTTAAGTATGCACACTTAATCTCACCCTAATACACACACAGAAACTTCTGTCCACATAACCATGGGACTTGTGCCAGGAAAGGTGCGCATTGAGACCATGCATAAATATATATGCACACACTCACACAGCCATGACCACATTCAACGCATATGCAAGGTAAAACGATGCGTCGATTTATCGATCAATATAAACAACAAATTATGGTCGTCTGCAACGTTGTACAAGGTATCGATGTTAAAATTTAATTTGCAACCCTGAATCGTGACAATTCGTTGAACCGACGGGGTGTGTAAGTAGTTTTTATACCTATCATGGAATACAATTCTGAACAAAGACAACAATTCCCCGTATAGCATTTAAAAGACTGTTCGGGCAAGTGCTGTTAGCAAGCACCTATTACGTCCAGCACAGCACATGAGGGGGTGGGTCGCCAGCACAACACCCGGCCGCCTTTGTCTTCCCAATGCGAATGTTTGCAAACTGTACCAGCTACTAATTTAGGGCCGAGTCGACCTAGGGTTGTCCCAGGACCGGTTCAGATATTCATCACTGACGTTGGCTGCGAGCGGGAATCAAACTTGGGATTCGTCGAGCAGGGTGCAAATCACGACACTTTTGCTCCCCACACGAATCCTTGACCATACGGAACAAACGCACACACACACGCGCACAAAACAATTGTCCCCCATATCAATTCTTTCCACTTTACCCCATCCCCATCATCTAACTCCCTTTCCCTCCCAAACTCCATGGACATCTACCCAACTTGTCCTCCCCGGCACTCTCGTTCTTCCGCACTCCAGCCTGCCGCTTCCACTCACTCACTTTCTCTCACCTCGCACCCATTTACGCCTTCCGAATGTTCGTGAGCACCCGTTTCGCTCTCCCTCGCACACTCGCCAGCGTGGGACGAGTGCTGCGCCCCACTCTCCCGAGGCGTGCCACGCTGCAGCTGGGCAGGCACACCCGGAGACGGCCGCCACTCGGCTGTGTTTTCTTCTTATTCTTCTTCCCAATTTCACGACGCCGAATGCGTCGCCGTTCCGATGATGGGGATCCGTGGCCACGTGAGAGGGGTACACTTGAACCTGGCCATCTATAGAACTTTGCTGGGAACCTGCGCAGTTCCACAGGGGTACGCGTTGATCTGCCTAGTCGCTGGGTACTGTGAAAAAGAGGTACCCTCTGATTTGGGGGGTATCTGCAGTTACACACTTGGTCAGATATACAATGCGCAATGATAGTAACTAGCGCGTTTGGTCTTTGTGCCATTCTCATAGCTGAATGTTATCGCGAATGCTCGATGTTTCACAGACGGGTATGGTCTGCCAGTAGGGGGTGATGTTGCTATGTAATTTTAACCAATTGGATAATCAGGTCATTTTCGAGTAACCTTGCAAGTTTGACAACTTTGGACCGTGACGCCAAGTGACACATAACCAGATATTTTGTCAAACGACATCATGGGATCTTGAATGTCCACTGTGAAGCAGATGCTGGCAAAGTTTTTTTTTGCTTTATGCACCCAAACCGTGTAAATCAGGTGACGCTGATGCACGGCCACTCGGGCACCTCACCAAGCACATCCACCCAGTGGCGGCGGTCCCTGCGTGAGCGTCTCGCTTGTCCGTGGTGGCAGAAGCAGCGTGGAATTAATTAGGCTTGTCTAAACAGTTCAGAGATTAATAGCAACCACAGCGGCCGTTACCAATGGGACCTCCACAGCAACTTTGTGACTGCCTGCAGAACATTTCCTTTCTGAGCCCAAGTGTTTGTTTCGCAACCGTCCGTGTATTGAGGCTATCTTGCCAGGGACGCCATACAGGGACAACATCATAACAATTGCTCCATCTTTGGAGGTAAACGCTAGCTTAAAGTCCATCATCTTTACAGCCACTGTTTTCTGGAATTCTAAACATTTCCCCCATCATTTGTCTCGGGGGTAAATATCATGTCTTCGCAAATCCCTTCAAGATCTTCCCCATTATATTGTCATCAATAGAATGCCCTGGCAGTTCTAAAATGTGCAATTAAACTCTTGGTTGCATTGCTAATTTTACGGAAAATAAATGACAGCCCTTTGTCATTTATCGCTGGATGAAAGCCATGCAATGCATTATCTGTTATGGGGGGTTGTTTTACAGCACTTCACCGTGATGGTCAGTGCGGGTTGGTGAAGCGGGGGCCCAGAACTGGTTCAGATCTTACTCGCCACTGATGTCAATCATGGCTGGGAAACTAACCCAGGTCACTGGATTCACAGCATATACAAAATTAATGGAAACACTTTAGTTGATAACATGACTCAAAACTATATATCCAGCCCAAAGGTTGTGAGTTCAAACACTTCTCGGTAGGGCATTGACTGATTCCATGATCACTCCAGCATACAAATAACACGAGGCCCAATTTTTGAGAAGTAAACTGTTTGTTCTTTTGAGATGCTGGTTGCTATAATATAATATGTAATTTACACTACGAGCTCAGGACCTCAAACAGAGATAAATGCAGGACAATGCTCATTTGAATAAGGGGACACATTTGCATTTTGATAATAGATTAACTGATTAATGCATTAGAGTCCTTATTCGTTGCACGGTGTTCTGAATCCTGATGATTTAGCTACGCAGTTACCCCCCCCCCCCCCCCCAATGTAGAGCTTTCTCCAGATACTCTGCTTTAAACCCACATACAAAAATACTCAAGCACGATTAGGCCAAACCTATTATTGTTGAGTGTGACTTCACTTTAACAAAAGAACATAAGAAATGTTACAAACGAGAGAGGGCCATTCAGTCCGTTTGGCTCGTTGGGTTGTTATCAGCAGATCAATTCTAGAATATCATGGAGGAGTATCTTGGATCTGTGAGCAGACTGTTGCAGACTCCCACCACACTTTGCATCGTAAAAAATCAATCAGCTACCTTAAGCCTCCGTTGTGAACTTTCCTGCGTGCAGGTTTCCACCCATGGCCTCTGGTTCTCTTCTCTGTGTTGAGCTTAAAGTAGTCATCTGGATAACCTTATTATTTATTATTTTGTTGACATGTAATAAGTCCCTACGTAATCTTATCTGTACAAGACTATGATGACACACAGGTGTTTAGGAAGTTTACAATGCAATTTGTAACCACATCAGACAGTGGTATACTTATGGGGGGTACACGTGCATCTTGGGAGCAGATAAAAGCATTTATTGGGGTGTTTTCTTTTCTAATTCTATATCAATTATGCCACCAATGGCAGTTACATTTCATCTCCAAGCTACCAGGAACTCCTAACGGATTAGCAGAGCAGTCCAGTTATGATAGAACCATGATTTGATACGTGCGTTGTTTTATTATGTATTCATATATACATCCTCAGATATGGTTATGACCAAATTAAGTACTATGAGCAAATTTAAAGATGGCATATTTGTTGTGACTATCACAGCAGTGGCTCGGATAACATTGTCTTGCTACAAGTCAAAGATAAAAGTGAGTTCCTGCTCAAATGAGCATTGGGGCAATGCTTATCTGTTGAAGCCACTAAACCAGTGGTGGGAATCTACGTGCCTATGGCTGGGGCAAGTATGTCCATAGGACGAAGACTGCTGAATGACCCACTAAATGGTACTGACTGTATCAACCACCAGAGGAAATGGTGGGGTAAGTCAACCGCAAACCAGGAATTGAACTAACGTGGGTGTCATAAATATTGGCTTAATACTCGTGCTCGGATCTTTGTCCTTTAAGAACCCACTCAGATGTGTTTTCAGTAGCATTCTTAGATGGGGCCTCGTGATCGTTGACAATCAGAGATGGCGTCAATTGCACCTCACATGACCACGGCCCCTTTTGAAATGCCCTCGCCTCGTATCTACGCCCGTCACTCAGACTCACGTTAGCCAGACCCCCCGCTTCTCTGTATTGTTCCTAGCGGCCCTAGAGCTCAGGGGCAATGGATGCTCTGTAAGATGCGCTTCTCTGCTCCGGGCCAGAGTTCAATCAACGTCCCAGCATGGCACTACCGGACACCGTGCAGCGGGAGGTGCCATTTTCGTCTCTCGGACGATACATTAAACCAAGGCCCCTGTCTGCCCTGAAGACACAGAAGACCCCATGTTGCTCTTCATTAAAGATCGCTGGACCTGAACCTTGCGTTCCCAGATACAATCCCGGTATCGCTGAAGAGTATCGCTGGGGTGGAAACAACTATCTTTGTATGATAATACGTCTACCACAAACAAATAATAAAAACATGTGTTTAAGTAAATATATTCTTCTTTTGTGGGAGCGGGACATCCATGTTAATGAGATGTGTGCAACATCATGGCTATATACTGGTCACTAACCGATGAATCACCTCCTTGCTTAAGAGCCACCTGAGAGCCTGTTGAGACGAGACATCCTCTCATTTGTAAGAAGGGCCTCAATCTGCACACATTACAGGAGCATCGCAGAAACCTAGCAAGGGCAGTCAGCAGGTTGTAATTCTTGCCTCCGATTAAATTTTTATACACTTACATTTTTTTTTATAAAAGTGTAAAAGATTGGAGATTTTTGACTGTCCTTGTTTATTTATCATCACACACTCGTGACCTCCGAATGCAGCTGTTTGTTTAGGTCTCCCCTTTGAGTACACAACATTTATACACGCATGTGCGCACGCAGTATGCCGTATATAAACCTGAGACCATCCCTGTTGGCCTGCTTCTAAGAATCCCATGCGTGCCCCCAGAGGTTTGTGCAATTCATAAACGCAAACTGGCAGTTCGTGAACGTTGCAAAATGTTAAACACAACAGCACATGTTTATAGTGAGGAAGCCATATTCCGTTACCCGCATGCCTCTGCTCACATGCTATGTGTTTGCCCGCTTTATTTTGCCAGTGGTAGAATTTTGTTTTTCTCGGGAAAAAAACCTACGTGATATAATTTCCTGTTTGTGCCACCCAAACTCCAAGCAGTTGATGCCCTGGCTTTGTCACTCACAGGGGCAGATTGCTGTGGAGCCTCCTGTGAGCCGTACCCAGGTAAGGAGCTTTATTCCTTGTTCATTTACACACTTTTATGATACGTAAAAAATGGTTCAGCCCTTAATTTGTTTGTTTACTCGCTACTGCTTGCAGTTTGGTCTTCACAAGGGGGAGCTTCAGAGAGCCATTCTGGAGGGTATATTTATATGTTAGCCTTTTCTTCCACACAGGCGAGATATCTTAAAAGAGGTGGGAACACCCACACTTTACTCCACCATGTGTAAGCTGCCGATGAACTAACCGTGGTTTACGATTTATACTGCTGGATGGACAGAGGTGGAGGGATTAAGAAATGTGCCCATTTCAACGGCTGTACCGGGGGATCGGATCGGCAACTTATGGGTTGCTGTATATTCATTTGTCCAATGATATATTCATTAAGCTTTTTGGAGAGGTGGTGCAGCAGTTTTTAACATTCTTTTAAAAAAATGTAATAAGTGAAGGGTCAGGGCGCATCGAATCGCAATACCCTGGCTTGCCAGCAGAATGCAGTACAGAAAGTGTGGACTGATATCATCTGTCCCTTCCGTTTGGGATAGCATGTTGCCCCCTCGCATATGCTGGTTTTCTCTAGGTGCTCCGGTTTCCTACCACATGTACAAACACTCGCGAATTGTCTGAAAACATCTGAATATATAGAGAACTGCAGAGCAATTATTGGTGCCTACTTCCTGCCTGGCAACCTTGCAGCTTATCTATGGGTTCTCAGTGATTGTGAGATGCAATTTGCATGAACGACGATGCGATATTAAATGAATTATTATATTACTGGGCGGCAAGTGGCAAGTATTATGCAAAAACCCGTACTGGGCCCCCTCACAAACTCACAGTGATGAGCATGGTGAATGAAGTTTGGTGAAACAATATTTAAGACCGACATGGTATGGGGAGTGTTCGATCCAGTTGAGTGAATTGACAAAGAGTTTAACTTTAAAATAAATAAATCTAAAAGTCTCTCGTTGAGTATTGGGCACGTTAAACATATTTTAACATGTTTTTTCTTTTGCAACCAGATGTTTTAAATTTGCTCGTAGAAAATAAATTCATCACAATGATTAAGACAGAAAGAATAATACCTTTGCAAATGTGTGTTGCAATGTGTTGACAAACTATGCACGGAGAATCAGTACAGTTACTAGCACTATAGACATCCATCGGTGAAACTCTACAGACATTGGGTAGAGGTCATCTGTAAAATGACCCATGGTGCACACAAGACAGGAATCATCTTAAATATAACAGATAGCAGACAGGGATCATCACCAAAGGCCTGTGTGGGATTTTCCTCCGGCGTTTTCCATGAGTCACAGGATGCATTTTCTATTGGAGCTCAGGATGGAACGTGTCTGTGGTGCCGTTTTCCAGTCGCGATGGATTTGCCAGAGAAATCGACCTGGAATAAAGTGGCTTGGACAATCCAGGTTCTGAAAAAAGTCGGCCAAAGGCAAACTGGCTGGTATAGAAGAACGTCTCCGACAAATTGACCCAGGCAAACAGGCCGCAATCCTCGGTAGCTGGAAGACATCCGAGCACGTTCAAAGTAGTTATTTACGCCCGAGCGGAAAATTCGATAAGAGCCGTTGCACGTAATTCATCTACGGACCAGACACAGACGCACACAAAACATACCCCACACACGCGCGCGCGCACTTTCAACGGGAATAAAAGTAATGCTGTAAATTACGTTTTTGAAAAGGGATGAAGTACCATTAAGACTGTGTGTGACTCGTGTGTCGCCTGTGCTGTGATCTCAGGCTCCGGCGGGACTGTGCCGTAATCTGCGCCCTTGTCATTAACTCTAAATGGCCTCTCGAGCGCGACCGTAAACTCTTCAACGAGTTTCAATTGTAAATGGCTGACGTTATACTATGTTCACACGGCCGCGTTGTTAGCGCGGCGCTGCAAGCAGCCCAATTTGGTGGCGTCACGTCGGCCTCTCGTTACGAGCAAGGTCCGTCCGCGCTCCCCGTTCCATTTGGCCGCTCAGTGCCCATAAAAGGCCGCCTTTTAGGTCGACTGTTTCGTTTTTTCCTTTCCCTCCCTTCACTTTCCCCACCACCACCACCACCCCCGCTATCCTCCGTAAACGATCACTTTTCAAATATTTTTTGCAACATGCACGTCTTTGCCAGCGCAGTGCGTGTTCGCATGGGGCGGTTTGTTTAGCAAATGAGCCGTGCGTGTGAGAGAGGGAATACCGGCCACGTGAAGGCCACAAATGGGTGGCGTTGGAGCTGGGGCGAATTTTGATGGGGGCTCAGGGTGGAAGGTGTAGGGAGTTTTGGAAGGGGGCTAGAGAGTAGGCGTATTCCTCGTGAGGCTGAAACAACACTTGGAGCTGCATGAAGCCGCCAGTCCCTTCCTGTTTGGCTCACGTCTGCCTTCTCCACTCCGGTTCCGTTCATAGAACTTGTGCCACAACACAAGACTCAGGAACTCACAGGGAAAAGCAGGGAGCCTTTCGGATTAGGGATGACGGCACGTCGGGAGTGTCTGTGTATGTAAGCTTTTGTACGTATGCACTACGAACCCGCTCACGGCCACCACCAACAACAGTGATAGTGAATTATCTGAAACGGTCATAGGCCTCCCCTAGGTAGACTCAGCCTCAAATAAGTACCTTGTGCAATGTGTAAACATCGCCACTGGGGAGACAAAGGCGGTCAGGCATTGTGCTGGCCACTCATCCCATCGTGTGCCGTGCCGGCCTTTATGGGTGCTCGATAACAGCACTTGCCGCAACAGTCTGTCGAGGCTATAAGGGGGATATTTGTCTTTGTATTTAATCATATGTATTTATGTATGTGCATACATTTAGTGTATCCGTGTGTAGGGGTTAGGGCGGGGGAGAAGCAGTGCATTGTGCCACTAATCTGGCAATCTGGATTTGATTCCCAGACATGGATAATATCAATAGCAGTGGTATCTGAAGCTGTCGTAGACCTCCCGAAGATTGGCTCAACTTTAAATAACTACCTGGTGTGGTGTTGTATAAATCAGCACAGGAGAGACAAAGGTGGCAATACTTGGTTCTGGCCACACCACCTCCTCTTGCACTACATAGGCCTTAATATGTGTTCACTAACAACACTTGACCCAGAAGTTTATATGGCTATATGGTGGAGTTTTTGTATGTTTGTGATTGTACTCTTACCTACATATGCACGGATGTGTTTGGCATTTGTGTGTTTTTTTCTAGTCTTCTAGCGTATGGCAAGCATTTGTCAATTATACGTCCAGGTTTAAGTTTGTAAGCTATTTGTAGTTTGTTTCCGATATTGTCCACTGGGTCATCATCTTTAATGTTTTCCGCTTGTGGAAAAGGCGTGCGCAGCAAGCGAGCTCGGTCGCCGCCCCACAGTTTTTCTTGGGCAAGAGCGAAGCCACGTGGAGTGGCGGTGGGGTCCCCTCGACGAGGCTTCCATGAGGAACCTCGGCAGAATGCCACCATCGTCGCCAGCGGTCCTCATTTTGGCCCCGCTTCATCCAGTTGTCTCGCTTGGCACGATCCCAGATTAGTTTGTGGCATCTCAGACGAGTTTTCGAGCAGTTCTTGGTGTCACCAGGAAGTCGATGCTTTGCTCGGATTTTTCTCACTTGGTTCAGATGTCGCGGCATCCCCGCCGGAGGTCTGCTGGCAACAACGTTGGCCAGAAATGGGTGGCCACTCAGTGGGAGTGCGTTTCATTGTGCCCATTATTGTTTGAAGGGCGCCGTTGATCTGGACGTCCAATTTATTCGTGTGGGCGCATGATCCCCAAATTGACATACGGATATACTTAGCACTGGGGTACACGAGGGCAAGGGTGGCCGTACGTAGAGTTTTGGTGACGGCTGATAGATTCCATGCAGAGATACTACTGGAGTCAAGATGCTACACTGTTTCTCAGCAAGCAGCTCTGGGAGTATATCTATCGAAAATCCTGACCATACAAACATACGATATATATTCATTCAGAGTGTCCTCTCCAGGTTTCCACTCTTCCGTTGTTTGTGTTTCTCAGATGCAGCTGATCCTTCATATGCAGTATGCGCACTGTTCACAATGAAAACTGAGCTCATTCAAAATGGACCCGAGCAGCTCATTGTAAAAAATTGTATCCAGATGATACTGGACAACAACTAATTTCCATAATACTATTCATATGTATCCTATGAGAATTATTCTCTGCCGAACGACAGCAGCTATTGCATTTTATATATTAGGTTGTCAGTGGGACAGTGACATTCATGAATGCATAGTTGAATTTCTCATGGTCAACATTCGGAACGCATTCAAATATCGTACTGTAGAAATTATTCTCCTTACCCAGCAAAGCCTCACCGAGTCTCAGAACTCTTTGTTCGGAGGGTCCCGCATTTGTACGCTTAGCCAGAACCCACACAGACTGTTTAGCATGTGGGAGGAAACCGGAGAACCCAGAGAAACCCACACATATAAGAGGGGAACACTCAAAGCTCTGCGCAGATATATTTAAGCATCCTTTGATGTACTGACCACCCTTGCAGCCCAATTCTCCAACCCCTGATAATCCTAGGCAGTCTCCCATCCCGGTGACAACTGTGCTCAGCCCTGCCTAGCTCGCAGGATCTGAAGTTGTGAGTGGCTGGACACAGAAATACAGAGGGGATACTGCACGGGGTCATTCCTGTGGATTTTGATATGTTTATGGACAGCGAGTGGTCAACACTAGGGGTGCAGATAGACCCACAACACGTGGATTGGAATGTGAATGGATCAATATCATATCATATCCTTATCAGTTGATCAGCTTACAGGATTGTGAAGTACTTTTAAACTAACTTAACAGCCAGCAACTACCGCCAAAGCGTAGGCGGTGAGACGCCCCCTGTTGAATTTAGAGGGCTTTGGTTTGATAATTATTAAGTCGGAATAAAATTTTCACGTTTTTTTTTTGCAGTATATATATTTTAAATCCATCCTCATGTGCTGTAATGAATACCATCACATTTTAACTTCCTGGATTCTCGTTTTG